CAGCGTTGTGAGGCAAGGGCTCAAACATGTACGCCTGTAAGCCTTCTACACCAAACAATCCTTCTGCCGCCCTGGCGCCCTCTTCCACAACAACTTTGTGCCCGCTCTTTCCTCCTCTGAAAAAAAATGTATAACGGTGGAGACTCATCCACGACCTCCGACACAAAACTCTCCTCCTCTTCACTGCATGAAAAGTGGGATTTTCGTCAATATGCGGCACTGTAGATTGTCGTGGAACTTCAGGTTAGCGGCAGTTTACGACAATTTGCAGGCTTCGCCGAAAACTCCCGTAAATTGTCAGAAATTGACGTGGACTTGGTTAGGCAGTGTTCCCCCCATGTCTCCCCCCCATGGAATTCTAGGGGAGGCTTTAACATGTAAATGAACATGCTGTGAGCTATACAAATGCAAATCAGGGTTGCAGGGGGGTTTTTACTCCAAGTGACATTTTTCTAAAAGGTAAGACATCTCTGATACAAAGAGATCAGGCTCAGTATAGCCTCTTACATTTTAGCTTGAATTGATTTATTTAATTAAAGTATAGAGACCAAAACAGATCTTTAGCTGACAGAGCAATACATTTAGAGCAGTAATTATAAAAAAAAAAAAAAAATTGCATTTAAGATAAAAAATAAAATGTTGTCTGTCAATATGCTCAATTCACAATAACTTAAGTGGAAAAGTTTCAAGACATGAGTCTGAGATGATTCACTTTATAACATGGCGCATTATCCTGTTGGAAGTAGCCATCAAAAGATTGGTACACTGTGGTCATAAGGTCCGGCCAGGTCAAGATCCGCAATTGCAATCGCACCAAACAGGAAAAAGAACATCGACAAATTCCGGTTCGTCAAATTAAAATATAGCAGCAACAGATCGGTGACTAGAAATTATAGCACAATTCTTATATATAAAAAAAAAAACTAACACCGTTTATTTAAATGATTGGATCCAAACTATTGGTTATTCACCAACGAGGAAGCAGATTTCTCATCCCCATCAAAATATTTATTTTATACCGAGGGACTTAAACTTTAATCAAGTCCATTCAAAAGAAACTTCTTATTACAGGAATGAAAAGAGATGTTTGGGAGAAGAGAACAAGTTCATTCAAAAAAAGCAGTTTTGAATTATCCTTATCCCCGTTACAAAAATCTACAAAAATATAAATATATATTTGGGCAGAAACTGAACATATGCTGGATGATGGTGGGATTTTTTTAATATGTCATAATAAATTAAGCGCTCACAGGGTTCATACAGGAATGAGTGACTCTAATTGAATGCTATTTGAAATTATTTCAATGCCATCAACAAGAACCATGTACACAAGTTATTAGTGTACATGAAATATGAAGGAGCTGTAAGCAGAGTTCCATGACTCCTGTATGTATGTAAACACACACACACACATATATACGTATATATATATCCTCTAGCTTTTTCTCCGCCTGGAGCGATATAATATATCTGACGAAATTGTTTTTATAAGCATTTTTTATTAAAGAATTATAAATACTTCGATAAACATATTTAAATCATTTTAGTGCCAATTAAGGCCTTGATTTAAAAAAAATGAATGATTTTTTTATTATTTTTATTGATCCGCGGAAACCCTGGTTCATCTCGCGCATGCGCTCTACGATCTCCAAGAAACTCGGTGTGCAGCCACAGTGGAGGATGTATGCTTTGCTTTGTGCAGGCGGTCTGGAGCGTCTGGATTTCGGGGTAAAACTCCTCTTGGACGCCATGGCAACTCTGCATGGAACAAGACGAACTCAAAGAAGAGATGCTAGCGGTAAATATATGTTCGATTACTGCCTGCTAGGCTAAAAGCAGGCAAGCCTAAGCTACGGCTAAAAGCAGCCTAGCCTAAGCTACGGCTAATAGCAGCCTAGCCTAAGCTACAGCTAATAGTAGCCTTGCAAGAACAAGCTTTATTAAAGTGTATTTTTTGTGATTCACAGGAAGCAGTACGCCGTCTTCACAACTCGGAGACTAATTGCAGGCGCTATGAACCGGAGCACGGGTAAGATTTAAAGAATATGCTTTCATTCTGCGGTAAAAGGCAATGGATACGGATAGATACCGATCATAGCATAGCATCATTTTGTTTTCACAGACTACTGTCGCCTCACAATGAGGCGGTGACCTCCTATTTGCTCAGAGCCATATCAGCAAGTCCAGATTTGCACGATGTTGATAAAGACGACATTGTGTGTAAGTGACTTGTTTTAATGTTTTCTCCTTCCTTGTTACTGTGACTTGCGTTTGATTTTTTATTTATACCACTCTCATTTAATTGTTTTCCAGCTGCCTGTAAGACATATTTTCAGACGGTACGCAGGAGCTTCAGATATACGCAGCCAGCCAACACGCTGCGTGCGGAGGCAATCTGCTCGGAGTCGGGCCAGAAGAAAGAGGGTAAGACTTTATTTGGTGACTATTTTTCAGGTGCATTAATAGATGTGTTGTGTCCATACGCAGTGCGCTGATTCATTGTTTTTTTTTTTTCAGCTGCTGAAAGCGAGGCAGAGTGTGCTAGCAGATGAGGAAGTGGAACTCTGGAAGTCCGCCGTCGTCCGCGGTGTCTCTGGATGGATTGTACGGTCGCCGCCATTTCGTAGGCCGGATCTCACTGAACTATGTGTTAAGCTGCAGTCCCGGTTAGAAGCAATGCCGAAGTACAGGGCCGCGCACAGTAGGCGTCTGCACATCGGACCTGCCTCGGAGGGAATGCTGCCAGTTACCTCCAACCCCGAGGAAGCAAACGGACCGTTCACGGACTTTTAATTTTTAGAAACGCATGTGTTTGGATACGCGTTGTATATAGTTGTGTGTGTGTGTTTCAATAAAGCTCTTTCTTTGCATAAACAGCTTCCTGGCAAATGTTCATTTCCTGTATAAATTCATTCATGTCCTTGATGGTAGCATAATAATTGTGTAGTAGTGTAGGATAACATAAATACACACCATATGAATGAATAAATATATGAATGAATAAATATATGAATGAATAAATATATATATATATATATATATATATATATATATATATATGAATAAATATATATATATGTAAATTTATATGTAAATATATATATATGCCAACCAATCACGAGCGACTTTACTTGTTTAAAAAGAAGTGTTTCCGTCCAATACTCAGTAAGAAAATTAAAGCCTGGCGTGGCCACGTGTGGTTTTGCTGCCAATCACGAGCGATTTCATTTGTTTGAGAATAGTGGTTTCAGCCAATACTGAGTAGGTTATTCAAGCCAGACCTGGCCAGCCGCGCGGGTTTGCTGCATTCATATGCTAATTAGGGCCATTAGTACAGCTGATCGCTCTCCACATACGTCAGAGTCCGTTTCCAACAATTTGTGGCACGACAAACGCGGACAAGCACGGGTTGCAAATTGTCGGAAACTGACGAAAATCAGGCAGATCTGCGGGAGTTTACGGGGACGAAAATCTCACTTTTCATGCAGTGCTTGCATGTTGCCGCTGTCCATAGCGTTCCTTGACAGTGTCGTTGCTAAGTGCTACTTGGTCCCAATGTAATTTCCCATTGGGAACCTACCAGCACTAAGTTGCTAACTGGTTAGCAAGATGCTTCCGGGACACCGGCCACAACCAAAAGGCTTGCAAACCTTCCACCACAACAATCCGGCCCCCTTGATAATCATCAATAATTCGTCGGAGCTGCAACCGTTGGAAGAGCCATTTCCCTAAGACTTTAAAAAGACATTTACCTCCCTATTTGCACATGTGAGGATGTGAACCCCTAAGACTGTCATGGGCTCCACAGGGCAGGCAGGTGAAAACGCTACAGCCCCAACAGCAAACTAGACAATAATGAAAATACAGGGATAATTCACATCAAAAGAACAAGAACCTTCCTTCATGCACATTTTTTTGTGCTTTGGAACGTAATGCTGTCTTAGCACATTAGCTCTTTAATAAAAACATCCCATTTTCATTGTTATTTGCCAGAGAAGTGCTGTCCCTGACAGTGGTAACCCTGAAGAGAAAAAAAATCAGGAAAAGTAGACAGATGGGAAAATGGATGAACAGATGGATGGATTATTTGTTTTTAATCCAGGGTTAAGCTCTTTATTTTTTTTGGTTTGGATCCCTAACCAATAATCTAACCTGTGATGTTAAATTAACCCAAGCCAAAATCCATCCATATTGGATATAGGAAAATTAACTTTATAGGGTTGTTTTAAACTGGCAGTGTAGTATAGTATATGTAGAAAACGGTACACTATAATATAGTATATTAGCTCCATATGTTTTTGGTGAATGGCTAAATGTATATAAGAGTTTTATTGAGTCCTCAATAGTCATGTGGTTACTCATGTTGGTAATTATGTTTTGTTTTTATTTCTTGTATACGTCATACTGTTGAGTGCCTCTATGTGTGTCTGCAATATTCAGTTGCAGGCCTTAATGTAAACACATCTATAAAAAGGCCTGTATTGCTTGAAGTTAAACATTTGTTTTTACTTCCCTTTACAGCCCATAGTGAATGCTTGAATGAATTATCTTATACCAAATCTTCCAGGTTTTATAGAACCTTGGATTAATAAACTGTTGTTTTTTTTTCCCCATCATAAAATAAAAACTTATTTTAATGCTTGAGATACTTGAACTCAAGCAACATTTTTTCTGCATTCTCATTTACATTTAGGACTATTGGATCAGTGTGGTGAACAACAAAAGGCAAACACATAAATGCATGGGAAGCTGAAATGTAATATCCTTGTGTCATTAGAGGTTTACTTTAACAATAAAGACCCCGCTGAGCTGATTCTACATTCTTTTCTTAATATTATCAGTGAGAAAATATGCCTGCATCTGTCTAATCCACCTGAAGCTGCTTTTCTCTAAACTTCAGCTTTCATACTGCCACCTGCCCCAAATACATATGAATAAGGAGTCAGACTTCACAAAGGCAGCTTTGGCATGCATCAAAAGTTCTTAATAAGATACTTTACCTGCCAGGCACCCCATAAGTGACTGCAGCAGCAGCAGTTTCCATAGCAACATCATCTTCAATTTTGAAGGGTCAAAGTGTTTTCACATCCAATCACAAATGTATGGAATCCGATTTGCAGTTCTCTGCTTTGCCAATCTGTGGAAGAAAAAGAAATCAGGTGAGATGTTCTAAGCAGCAACTTTAAAAGTAGTCGAGCGTTGCTTGCTTGGCATCCTAAAAGGTTTTGGTAGCTGGAACTTACTCAAAGAGCAAAAAAATATATAAATTGAAGTTATTTTTTAAAAAGTGTTGGAGTAACCTACAATTTAAAGCTTTGAAGAAAAATAATCGCAAAAGAAACTATGTTTTTCAAAAGTTGTACAAAAGTGAAAGGAAAGCCATTTAGTTATAAGTTAGAGCAGCCACGGGGAATACGTGGAGCGTGGAAACATTAATTGGAATTTCTGCATGTCTGTATCATCGCTTATTTGCGCACATTAACTATGTTTTTCATTTAAAATCATCTCACAAAAGGCCAATAAAAAGCTTGTTGTCTCAGGAGACTCCCTTCAGTCTCCACTACATAGGTTCTGTCCATACGGAGCATGTGCAGAAAGAGTCCAAGAAGATGGCAGAAAAGCATATGAAAACAAAAAAGGTGATAAAAAGAAGATACCCTGGTGGTGCTGAAAAGAGGGGAAAAAAAGAGAGGGAAAGCAGAAAGCTGCTCTAAAAGTTAGAAAGCAGCACGCAGATCAAATCTGCGTAAATTGGAACAGAAACATACTTATGACATTGCTACATGCACAGTACATCTGGATCAGCATTTATTTATAATCTCTAAATAATTTTAAATTACTTTTTTTTTAATTTAGTCTGGGAATAATTATTAAACACACAACTGTTTATAGTTTTACTGAATAGGCTGTATGGAATACAAACATGTTAAAGTTATTCCCGCAAGTATTTGGTAAAAAAAAAAAAAAAAAAAGAAATTAATCAGATAAACACAAATCACATGAACTTTTTGCAAACAAAAAACAAAACAAGTGGGGGAAAAGAAACACAATCAGAGCCAGTGGTACTTCATACATTACTAGGCAAAGAGAGGGCTGTGGTTTGCCTCAGAGGTCTGCTGGTTGCCACGCTTCTCTCAACATTGGTACTCTTTCTTCAATTATACACTAACTTAGTAAATAGGCCATATAGTGATGCCTAAAAGTATAATATTCTCACCTGAAATTATCTTAAAACAAAATTTGGTAGAAAAACTGCAACAGAACAGTGAACTTTTAACAATACTGTGAGCTACGCAGGTGCTCCCCTGGAAGCTGCATCTGGCGCAATACATGCTGGGACAGCTGATAAGTCTGGAGAATGCATAAGTCTCCTGATGCATGCTCAGTAAAGAGGGCTGAGCGAAAATAACATCCAGGGATTGTGTCCGTTCTCTGTCTTGTGTTTTCAGTCTTGGCAATTGGAAGAGTCCTGGGGCTGAGGCTGATGAAGTGTCACAAGAACATGAGAACATACAAGTACGCATATTGATAAATGTACTATACCTTAAGGGCAGGGTGAGTCCTGTGGGGATAAACAACTAGGGAGAATAAAATCTATCAAAAGGGAAATATGTCCCCCTTTATGCTGATAAGTATTTATTTATCACATTGAAGACTGAAAAGTTTGGCTCATTTTGAGGAAAGCTTCAATTGTTTTTTTTTGTTTTTTTTTATTTGCTGTAGCTCATGAGATATAAATCATTTAGTCTTTTTTATGTTGATTTTCTAGGGAAAGTTCAGGCTTTGGGGGTTCTTTCTAAAAATCCCTCCTAGGTTTTACAAGTAATTTTGGAAGTTAGTTTTAGTCCTTAATGTGTTAAGTTATGCATCAAAAATAATAGAACCTCATAACTTTTTTCATAACTTTTACTTTGAATGAAAGTATCCCCGTCAGAAGTATAGCTTTGTAATAAAATTGCTATAACATTGTGTGTTAACATTTACCGCTGTAGATGTTTAAGGTTGGGCTAATTTTATATGAATGAATTTAATGTTAGGTAGTTTAAGCATTAATCGTGCATTTGTAGCATCACTGGTCTTTCCTATGACATGCAGCTTGTTTTAGAACCTGTCATGATGTGTTTTCCAGCTTGCCAACAAGACCATGTTGTAAGGAGTTTTGGCATAGAAATTCATCTCACAAGAGAGATGCACAGTTCATCAAAAATATTTGCATAAAACTATTTTGGGGTTCTTGGTTTTTAATAAGCAGAAATAGCTTGAAAATTAATTGAACAAGAAATTAGGATTACAGAGATGGATCTCCTCATTGCAAACATGGAGAGGAAGACGACATAAGGGACGGGAAGGGTAAAACAAAAAAGAGAGGAGTATGAGTACAAGAAATAAAGAAGAAAAAAGACAATGGCTAAAGGAAGAGGGGAAACTAGGAGGAAAATAAGTAAAAAGGAATGAGGAAGACCATGAGTAAAAGGGAAAGAAGTCAAAACTAATAGAAAACATGAAAAAGGGACAAGAAGAAAAAGACAAAAGGCTTAACCAATAATGTTTGCATATGTATTCTCTTAAAATATCTGTATATATACAATGTATCTGTTGAATGTGTGCCGTCTTTAAGGGATGTAAGATATAATAAATTCTCTCAAATACTGAGACTGTTCATTACACAATATTGTTCCTGATTGTAAATATGGACAAATTGATCTCAAATTAAAAGAAATATATATTTATATGCAAATTTCAATTTGATTGATGACTTATATTTAACAGTAAAATCCCAGCCGATGGTTGGCAGCACATTGTCCATGAGTCTATTATCCTGGTGCTGTTCTCTTGTGAACTTTTAAAGCTACAGTGTGTAATAATTACAGGGATATACAGTCAGAAATGTAATATATTATACATAACTATGTTATTTATCATCATCTACGAGCTCAGCCTCTTAACCGTAATATTTGCTTTGCCTTAGAATTCGTTATTTATAATAACATAGGAGCGGGTCTCGCAGCCATGGAGGCAGACATCTTTGTGCTACGGCAGCGCAGAGCCAACAAACTAGCGATTGCGAGATCGCCCATTACGCTCGAAAGTAACTACGGCAAGTTGAGAGAGATGAACTGAGACGGTACTGAACAATTGATGGCAGTATTAAAATTATCTATGTAAACAAACCTCATCACTTGAGAAGGTAGGTGATGCGGACGTCGTGGAAGACATTTTATCCCGTAACGCTCGCCGTACCGTTGGGGGGGAGAAGCGGTGGGGGGGAGATGTTCATGTTGCTGCGGTCTGCAGTCTGGACGTTAGATGTCGCTAAAAATTACACACTGTAGCTTTAAAGAGCTATTTTCTGAAAATCGGGAAATATCATCTTTGTTATGGTATCAGCATAAATAATATTGTCTTGCAATACATAAAATATTGTATGGCAATACACCTCATATCCCTATACTGTCTTTTTGTCAATTTATGCCCCAAATTTCTTAATCATGCCACAAGGCTGTAGTAGTCATAAATGGACAATGGAGAATACAATCGTCCATAAGCTGATACTGTAACTGGAACTGTCACTTTGGAGTTTGTCTCCAACTTCCCTGTTTAGAATACAGAAAACAAAACACCTGATGACTAAATGGGCTTGTTAATTTGTAATTACTTATATAGAATTTTCTTATTTACAGTAGTGATTCCAATGTTTAATCTACTGGTATTTACATTGTTGCCTCACAGCTAAAAAGAAAAAAAAAAAAAAAATCAAGGATTTAATTTAGGGCTAGAGTCTTTTTTATAATTGCTCCAAGTACTTTCAATCTGTTTTGTTTTTGTTTTTTTTCTGGTGAACAGAACTATGTGTGGAATGTTCAGGATAACTACGTACTTTAACATTATGTTTATGGTTATGTGTCTTGTTGCTCTCAGTTTTATTCCTGTGCCGGACTAGCAATGAACATGGGTGGATGGGGAAAATAAACTTGATTTGTATGAAATAAATTAAAATTCATAACTTTCAGACTTTTAAAAGCATATTCAATTCAGAAGTGCTGTTATAAGCAACATCCCTACAGTCAGTAAGTTGGAAATTTCCAATAAATGGCAATACCAGTTATTTTTTTTTTTAAGTTATTATGGTGTCATTAGTTAATTTAAGTCTCATTAAACAATGCCATGCTGCTCTTTATAAAAATAAATCTATAAATTACAAGTATGTTAATTTTGTTTTTAAGGATATATTCTAGTTTGATTGGCATGTATGGGTGCAAGTGGGAGCGATTCACAACCTGGCTGTCAGAATTGTATTTTCCACTGACTTTGGGTTACTTGACCTCTAAAAGGAGCCCAGGCTATTAATGCTATAAGCATGTATCTGTGTAGTGTTACCTCACTTCACTGAAATGTTTTCCCACCTTCTTTGCCAGATAGCTTAAGCTAAGATTGGATCACACGCTTTTATATCAGTTTCAAGTCCTACCAGATTTGCAGACTGTGTTGCACTAAAATTAAGTATTTCTAATGCAACAAAACACAAAATAAAATATCCTATTTAATAACATAAGATAGTCTAAACTTACTTATATAGAAGAGATTAGCATACTGTACAGCGCTTACTGTATGTACTACAAATACAGTCATACTGCAGAAATACATCTTGTGAATCTGCATAAAAAAAAAAAAAACATCTCAGACTGCTAAAAATAGAATTAATTAATATCCCCCAACTGTAGAACTTTGTTGGTGGCTACATTTTAATGGTGTTGTTGAAAACATGATATGGGTCGCTTGACCTCTTAAAGGAGCCCAGGCTGTTAATGCTATAAGCATGTATCAGTGTAGTGTTACCTCACTTCAATGAAATGTTGGCCCACCTTCATTGCCAGATAGCTTAAGCTAAGATTGGATCAGAAGCTTTTATATCAGTTTCAAGTCCTACCAGATTTGCAGACTGTGTAGAACTAAAATTAAGTATTTCTAACGCAACAAAACACAAAATAAAATATCCTATTTAATAACATAAGATAGTCTAAACTTACTTACTGTATATACAAGAGATTAGCCCACTGTACAGCGCTTACTGTATGTAATACAAATTAGGGGTGTGCAAAATAATCGTCATGATGATGCATCGTGATTCCAATTTTC